TAGGGAACAGTGCTGATAGTCCAGGACTCAATGATATCCCCTCTTCATTCGTAAAGTGCTTTTGCCTTCTCGGACTGGAGATCTATCTATGTGCTTTTTAGAGCTATTTGGATAACCAGAACAAGATGCAGTGAATGTCAGCTACTCTGCAAAACTCTGCCCGTCAGGGGTTGTATATATGCTCTTGCAATGTGCAAACACTTAGTTTATACAGAAAGGAATTAATTTGTGGAGGAAGAATGAAATAAATTTAAAAAATATAAGTCCCAAACCTGTCAGGAAACTGCACGGTAGAATCAGGCCTTTTTAGTGTGTACTTGGTGTAAAGCTTACATGATATCTTTAATCGTTTTACTGCTGATCCTTTTTACAGCTTCTAGGCTTCAGAAGAACAGGTTGGTGACCTTTTGAAATGCCAGTGGTCTATTGGGATGCCAGCATGGAATATTGGCACTAGACTGATAGTTTTGTGTGTTTTGGATGGTGGAAGGACTAGCACTTACTATAATGACTTCCTATTCTAAGCTCATGAAAACAGCTCAATTCTGTATAGTACATGGTAGTATTTTTTTTTTTGCTACTTCCTGGTGTATTCATGGTGATTAATGTCCATAAGGCAGTATAGAGAGGGGTGAAGCAGTTAAATCACTTAACATCTTAAACTTATTGCAGGCAGAACCTGCAAAGTGTATTTAATTTCCATGAATAATTGTGGCACATGGCAGAGAGTAAAAGCCAAGTGGAAAGCAGCATATCCATGAACATACTTGCTGTCTAGGATTCTTTACTATATCTTGAGATTTGAGTTCATCCCACAAAAGTTGTGATCTCCTAGTAGGGGTTTAGGTTGTAGCCGTGTTGGTCTAAGGATATAGGCAGACAAGGTTCCTTGGGTGAATTTGATATCTTTTATTAGACCAACCCAAATGGTTGGAGAATACTTATTAAGCAAGCTTTCGGGTTCAAAAACCCTTCGTCAGGCTCAGGAAGCTGCAGCAGTTGGTGTGTGCTCTTCCTGGATGGAATGAAAAGTAAACAAGCCAGGGGCTGGGCTGGGGAGTCAGTTGCCAGGCAGATTGTAATGTATCAAAAATCCAATGTCTATGTTTAGTCCCTGATCTCTAGTATCCAGCAGGTTGATGAAATGGAGCTCATAGGCTCGTCTCTGGGAAGTGTTGTGTAAATTTCCCTTGAGGATCAGGACTGAGAGATTGGAGAGAGAGTGGCCCTCCTGTGAGAAATGTGCCCCCACCGGTAATTGGGTGTTTCTGTCTTTGATGGATTTCCGGTGTGCGTTCATTCTGGTGCGCAGTTGTTGTCTGGTCTCTCCTACATATCTTCCATCAGGGCATTTGGTGCATTGGATGAGGTATACTACATTCCTGGAGGTGCAGCTGTAAGATCCTGGGATGCTGATGGCTCTGTTGTGGGGTGTAGTAATAGTGGGGGTGGTGGAGATGTGGGGGCAGGTTTTGCATTTCTTGTCATGGCACGGTCTGGATCCTTTTGGTGTGTTCTGGGCTTGAGGAAGTTTGCTTCTAGTGATGAGGTTGGCGAGGTTCGGTGCTTGTCTGAAGGCTAGGATGGGTGGCTCTGGGAAGATCTTTTTAAGAATAGGGTCTTTTTCTAATATGGGTTGCAATTTTTTGAGGATTTTCCGTACAGGTTCAAGGGATGGGTGATAGGTCATAACCAGCGGTGTGCGATTTGTGGGTGTTTTTCTTCTGTACTGCAGCAGTTCTTCACGTGGTATCCAGGTGGCTCTTTCAAACGTGCGATCTACCTCTCTGGAGGAGTGTCCTTGCTGGGTGAAAGCCTTTTTAAGATTGGTGAGGTGGCAATCCCGGGTGTTCTCTTCAGTACTGGTGCTGGAGTATTCTAAAGAAAGTCGGATGGAGGGATGGTGACTGTTGAATTTCTGATGGAACTCAATCAGAGATTGCAGGTTCTCAGTCCAAATGATGAAGATGTCATCAATGTATCTTAAGTATAGCAAGGGTTTGATGGTGCAGTTCTTGAGGAAGTCTTCTTCCAGGTGGCTTATAAAAAGGTTGGCATACTGTGGGGCCATTTTAGTGCCCACAGCTGTTCCCATCATCTGGAGGAAGTGTTGATTATTAAAAGTGGTGGATACTAGAGATCAGGGACTAAACATAGACATTGGATTTTTGATACATTATAATCTGCCTGGCAACTGACTCCCCAGCCCAGCCCCTGGCTTGTTTACTTTTCATTCCATCCAGGAAGAGCACACACCAACTGCTGCAGCTTCCTGAGCCTGACGAAGGGTTTTTGAACCCGAAAGCTTGCTTAATAACTATTCTCCAAGCATTTGGGTTGGTCTAATAAAAGATATCAAATTCACTCAAGGAACCTTGTCTGCCTGATCTCCTAGTATGTATTTGACATGGGGAGGGAAAACTTTGGGAGGAGTTTGTTATAGCAGGAGATTCACTGTAACTGAGTTCAGCACGACAAAGATCGTTGTCATATACCACATTTACTAAAATTAAAGTCTCTCCTCCAGTTTAATTGCTGCAGCAGCTTGCTTTTTAGCAACAGCTTGTACATACTCAGGATATTGTCCCCTCAATTTTTATTTCAGTTTCAACCATCTGACTTCACATAAAATGCTACAGACTAGCACAGGGAAAATGAAGACAAATGTTTTCACTTTTGTACACATTAAAAATAAAATCACCTTTATGAGATTCATTTTACGCTAAGTTGGAAAAATCAGCGCGTGGAAGCCAAATCCACAAACAATTCTGGAAAGCTATTAAACCTAATTCTGGACAGGTTATCCAATCCTGATGCTGTAGATCATAATTCTCACTGCAGTACCAGAGGAGACTTGGAACATGCCAGAAAAGCATGTTTCTTGCATCTCAGGCATTTTTTTTCAATTAGTTGCCCTTCTTTGTGATGCTTTTTTCCCCATGTTCAAGCTAAAATAATCATGAAAAGATATTAAATGTTTCCCTGACCGTTCTTCAGTAATCAATGTTTTTTCCCCTTTACTTTGGCAGTCGAAGTTGAAATAACTTCCATTCTATCCTGCCCATTTTTCACTGTCCTCAGTAATTCTTAGAGGAAAACTAGGATGGAGTAAGTAACTCATTACCATTTCTTCAAGGTGTTAGGAAGTGTTGACAGATGGAACTTAGCCTGGCTGAGGTTCTGGTAAAAATGCACAAAGTAAAGGAAAGGAACCCTGGATAGGGAGACCAAGCCCTGATATTTTCTACCTTATATTTTAAAGAAGTTATTCATATTAAAATATGTTAATATCTTGCACCTTTATATTTCTGATGTGAGTTATAGGATCTTGATGAGGCCATAAATAGTCATGCTAAAACTGCTACAGATTTTTTATTGAAAAGGTAGAAGGCAGCTTGGAGTAATAGTGAATATGTGTTGCAAATTTTAAAAAAATCAAGAATGTCTTCAAAAATAGAAAACCCTGCATAGTTTGGAGGGGGTGGGAGGAATATATTGGAAAAAATCATACATTGTGTGACTATATAGTAAAAATAATGGGTACAGCACTGCTGTAGAACACTAAGCAGCAACTTTCTTAGCTCTTGTTATGGAGACATTTTTACTGTTCTGTAAAGAAAAATTTATTCCATGCACAGAAAGCAGTTTCAAGAAACAAGCACAATGCCCCTCGCCCCTTTTCTTACTCAAGTAGCTTAAGAGGTTTGTTAATACAATGCTGCTGACAAGTAAATACATTAAAGATGATGTGCCTTGTAATGTTTCCCTGAAACTGTATTTCTGTTTCCCAGAGGGAATGAGAACTTTTTTCCTTCTTCATCTTTTTAAATAACGCAATGGTCCATGTTCCAATTTGGAATTTGTCCATGCTATATCCCCTTACTCATTGTGAAAGGTCCCAGAAAATCAACTTATGACAACATGCATTTCCACAACTAATTTTTTTAATGGGACTCTTGGTGAAGAAAAGGAATCTTAGCAATAAATAGAAAATGGGACTTGATTTCTTACTTACTTAAATCCTAATACATGGATTTCTTTGAATCCTGGAAGTTTTTCAAATATTTTTTGCATCTAGTGAAAAACACAAACATATTAATTCCATGTATGCTAAATGTAAAAATTCACTGGCAAAAGGCATAGTTTGGAAACTTGAAAAATGTCACAAAGAGTTAAAGGGGACTGCATGGATTGTATTTGTATTGATATCCTTATTGTTCTGTTTACACACATTGCTTGCCTTTAATTTTTTGTATTACTTATTAATTGGTAAAAACAATATAAATAGCTGCTTTTTCTGTCGATATAATTGTGTTAGTTGGTGGTAGACAAGCTGATAATAGAACAAGTCAGAGTGTATTTGGTTAGGGAGGATTTAATAGCAGCCTTCAGCTAACTGAAGGGTGGTTCCAAAGAGGATGGAGCTAGACTGTTCGCAGTGGTGGCAGATGACAGAACAAGGAGCACCAGTCTCAAGTTGCAGCAAGGGAAATTTAAGTTATATATTAGGAAGATTTTTCTTACGAGGAGGGTAGTAAAGCACTGGAGAAGCCTACCCAGAGAGAGGAGTTGTTGAATCTCCACCCTTGGAGGTTTTTAAAACCTGGCTAGACAAAGTGTTGGCTGGGATGGTCTAATTGGGGATGGTTCTGCTATGAGCAGGGGGGTGAACTAGTTAAGTGGTTTTCAACTTTTTTGTACCAGGACCCATTTATAAACATTGATGGCCAGTCCCAACTGAGTAAATAATGTAAGAAGAAAACAGCCCTCTGGCCCTGCCAGTGCCCCTCAATTCCAGTGCACAGCCCCCACCACCCTCAATGCCCCTCACTCCCGATCTGCTGCCCACAGGCCCCAGCCCCACAGTGTGTGGGGCATAAAATGGATGTGTGGGGCGGGGGTATGGGGCATGTACCTCCCAGATTTGTGCACCCACAGTGGGCAGAGGGCTGCAGCCTGGCTGGACTGGCATGGGCAGGAGCCGCCTCCATAGCCCTGTGGGTGGAACTTGGGATGGAAGGGTAGAACAGGGTGGTGAGACTCATTGCTGACACCAGAACACCTGCACTACCCATGCTGCCAGCAGCACAAGGAGTAATGGATGGGGGGAGGGCTATACTGCCCTCACCTTCACCCACCACCAGCCGCTCATGCACTGGACCACAGCTCTAACCCTCTGCTATGGGTCAGCCACCACTGCTGCTCCCCTCTGGCCTGCGGGAAGACTTACCTGCGGGAAGCTGCAGGACCTACTCTCAATGCTGCCTGGGTGCCATGTGGTGCCTCCTGCCTTATCACCCTCCTCCCACTCCTCCCACCCCCAGCAGTCTCTTGCAGGCTAGAACTCTGCCAGCCTGCAAGGAGAAACCTGTGGTTTCCCACATTTCTCTCCTTCAAAGGAAAACCCATTTTTAAAGTTTGTCGATCCATTTTTTTAAGTTTATTCATGACCCTTTCGTATATTCCTGTGACTCACTTTTGGGTTGTAACCCATGGGTTGAGAAATGCTTGACTAAATGACTTCCTGAGGTCCCTGCCAACCCTAATTTTCTATGATTCTATGATCAGAAGATCCAGTTAATTTTGTCTGCTTAAGGTCCATGAATCATTTACTAACTAATATGTACTTTATTAATAAATTGAAAATATTTACTGGATTTAATAGAGTATAGACCAGGGGTGGACAAAATACAGACCATGGGCCATATCTGGCCCACCAATTGATTCTATCTGGCCCATGGTGCCAGCAGAGGCAAGAGCTAGTGCTACTGCCCGCGGGCCAGATAGAATCAATTGGTGGGCCCATGGGCAGTGGCTCTAGTGCTGGCCTCTGCTGGTGCAGCAGGGGACACTAGGTGGAAGCAGCCTTGCCCTCCTGCTCAGCACTGTGTGGCAGCATGGGAGATGGAGTCTGACCTTGTGGTGCCAGGCAGGCAGGCGGGTGCTTCCGCACAGCAATGCCAGCAAAGGCTGGAGCCCTGCCTGCCCGCCCAGAACTGTGTGGTAGGGGGCTGGGTGAGGGGGGTGAACTGAACCACCTGCTCTGCCCCCACACCCTCCCTAGCTGGGGTCTGCACAGTGGGTTGGGGAGGAAGGCCAAGAGGCAGGGGCATTTCCCAGGTGCGCTGCGGTTCTCATCCCTGTGCCTGCCTGTTAGTGTCAGCCAAGCTAGGCACTGTAAGGAGGAGAGCATGGAGGCGCAGAGATAAGGTGCCACACCCTGAGTGGGCTCATGCTTCTGCTCCCACTGCCACTGTTGCTCTGATGCCAATTTCAGGCCAGCTGCAGGGAGGTGTGAGCATGAGTGAGAGTGCACATGCATAAGCAGCCCTTAACAACTCGCCAAAACTCATTAAATGGCCCTCCAGCCCAAATAATTTCCTATCCCTGGTATAGGCTGTTCACAAACAGCTTGTAAACTGAATACTGTCTGACAGCTATCTATTAGAAAGGTCACTCTGGGCATTTTCTGCTGCCTAATTTAATAATGGAAACTTTTTAACAAGAAAGTCAGTGAGTCAGTGATGAAAAAATAATGGATATAAAGTATGAATATTGTATGATTTTGCCAAACTTTAGAGGGTCATAAGCATTTTTATTAATACCAGGTAGTCACAAATAACCATCTGAACAAAGAAAAGGGAATGCATTCCAGCTGATTATTCATGAATCTATGAATTTGTGTTTCTACTTTAGAATAATATTTCCACAAATCAAGTAGATGAAATACTACATGTTTCCATATAATATAGATTGATGCAGACTCTTGGTTTAAAATGCAGGTAAAGCTCCCTAATTAACAGCCTGATCCTGTCAGGTACTGAGCAGCATTTCATCCTCTGGGCTGAGTGCTCTTACCTGAAAATGAAATCTGTGGGAGGTGAGGGAACTCAGCATTTATTGAGCCCTAATAAATCAATACATCAATTACAGGGCACAAAAGCTAGTTTAATGGATAGATTCCCTTCCCCCTCCCTCATTTTTTTATTTGTCTGATTATATATAAATCCTGTATAAAATTTGTGCCCCCTGCATATGTAGGTGGGTTTAGCTAAGCTGGAAGAGCTGCATTAAAATTTGTGATCAAGTGCACAGTCCTGACAGTGACCTGCTTATCTTAACCTCAGTAGATCACTCCTATTTGTGCCTTGTGACAAGACACACTCTGCTTCCCTCAGGTCTGTTTTTAGAGAAAAACATGCCAGCTGTGCTACATGAGATGTATACAAAAATTACCTTTTCATGTGATGAGCCACCAAAAGGGCTCTTTAGCCATAAGATAATGAATGTTCAGGGCTGCAGAATGCTTTAAAAATGGTGGATCGCGTGAAAAGTTAACTTTTATCTGATGTAGTATCAGATGAAGGCACTCTAGGACAGAGCACCTTAGTGAACTTTGTGCACAGGTTCACAATGGGGGTTAATTATGGGTGATTCTGCCTGCGTCCCAGGGGCCTTTACAGGGCTGGGCTGGTGCTCGCTGGTGAGCATCATCTCAGCCCCACCCCCAGGCTGTCATAGAGAGGAGACAGAAAAAGTTGTCTCCTCCTTGTGCAGCCAGGCTGGGGGAGTCGGCGGGTGGGGGAGGGCAGGGAGGGACTGCCCCTCAGCTTTTGGAGCAAGTCAGAACATGCCTGCAGGGTGGGGGGGCTCCATTTCCTCCCCCCCGCCCCAGGTCCAGGAGGTTGCCACTGTTAAGCTACGGGGGGGGGGGTGGGGGGGGGGGGGGGGGAGCCTCTCCTGACATGCAGGCCTGGCCTGGCTCCCCCCAAGACCCCAGCAGTGGTAGCTGGGGGGGACGGATGGCTTGTGGCTGGGGGATCTGTCTCCCCACCAGCCACTGCTGACAGTTGCCAGCTGGGGGGGGGGCAGGGAAGTGGAAAAGGGGTGGTCTGGCAACTTCCTGGAAGGCTGCTGGAGTGCCTCCACCTGCTGGCTGGGGCTGGTGCAGGCAAGCTCTGAGCCTCCCTTCCCCACCAAACAGGTGAACATCTGTTGGGTTCAATGGCAGTTCAACTATGGTGGTTTTGTGCAAAGTGCCATAGTTATAGTGCTTCCCCAACAAGCTGCTTGAATGTCTCTACACATCCATGGCAGCAGCTACTGAACTGTTTCTCTCTCCAGTGCTGCTTGGAAGGAAGAGATTTGGACTCTTTAGAATGATAACTTGTGGTAATGGAAAATACTTTTAATAATCAACACCCCTTTTCTGTCATATTCAAATACTGTAGAAACTCATTAAAACAAAAACCAACCAAAAAATACAGATGCTGGGGGGTCAAGTTGTAAGTTGCCAGAACACAATGTATGTGCAGTTTTGGAAAATCTGCAAGCAATAGGGATGTGCAAAATGGGCTGTATTTGATTTGGATTCAGCCTGAATCAGGGGACAGTGATTCAATTTGTTGATTTGGATCACTGTCCCATTTTGATTCAGCCAGATCCGAATCTGAAGATTCAATGATGATTCAGAGAATCAGCGATTCACCCATAGACACAGCTTTAAATGTTTTTTCTACATACCTCGAGGTAACAGGTGTGGCTTGTGAACGCTGTGATGGTGGGGCATGATGGAGCATCCCACAGGAATGTGGGTCCCCGGCCACCCCCCGGGTGGCCCCCCCCCCCCCCCCCCCCCAATGCTCAGTGGCAAACCCGGAAGTGGACCGGAAGTACTTCCGGTCCACTTCTGGGTTTGCTGCTGAGTGCATGGGGGGGCGGAGGGCGCACCTCTCCAGCTTAGGTATCAGCCACAGGAGGACCCCAGGTGCCCCTCCAGACCCTGGAGGCACCATTCACCAAGCTGAGGGGGTGCAGGGGGCCCTGTGTACTCGCTGGTGGACCCAGAAGTGGATCAGAAGTGCTTCTGGTCCACTTCTGGTTCTGCTGCCAAGCATGCTGAGGAGCCCCCCCACACTTCTGTGGGATGCCCCCCCCCCCCCACTTTTTTGGGATGGTCCATCCACCCCATCATCTCAGCAGTCACAAGCTGCCTGGTACCTTGAGGTATGTAAAAAAAAAACATTTAAAGCTGTGTCTATGTCCGAATCATTGAATCTCTCTGAATCAATTTGGAGAGATTAAAGGGTCTCCTGATTTGATTCAGATTGAGAGATTTGGCTACCGAATCAGGCTGAATCTCTGCCAAATTGAATCAGTGACTAAAGCTTTGCACAGCCCTAGCAAGCAACTTTTTGCAAGAAGAGAGAGCCGTGGATGTACTGGGAAAGGAAGCTATTGATCAGCTCTATCAATATCCCCTTTCTTGGTTGATTGCAAATACAATTGATTCCAAATTAGGATAGTCAAGGGAGGGACGCATTGGAGAAACTTCCACTGACTTTTGTTTAATTTTACCAAGCAAAACCTTTTGAGGACCTATGGATCATTAAGGACCTCCAGAACATTAAGTGCTAACAATTAAATTGGTAATTAAACATGCAGTTAGCAATATTAATGATACAAAATACCTCTGCTATACTAGTTCTATTAAAAAATATGGTAATGCCCAACTAAATGACTTAACAAGGCCATGTGCTTTCAAGTCCCTTGGCTGCTTGCTCTGGAAAGTAGTTCAGACAACAGTAGCTAATTTCTTTCAACATTGGTATTAAATTGCTCATTAGGTTTACTGTAGAAATTAAATCACTACAAAGTACTGTCCATTAATTCCTGATTAGGCCCAAATGATTTTCCTAATGTTGTAGCGGGTCTAATGCTCTGCTGATTGGCTATCTGCAGCTTTTTTAATTTCTTTCTGCAAATGTCTGTTTGTGAGGTAGGTGAACAGATGCTCTAAGAAAAGGTATCTATGTATGGTGGAGATCTGCAACAGCTAGAAATAGCAGGAGTTGTCTGTTCTGAATGAAGGTAGTAATTATTAATTACCTATATAATTCATATAATACATTTATATAAATGATATAATATAAAAGCAGGCCTTTAAAATGTCAAATGCTGCACAGCCATAGAGTAGATGAAGGTCTATGTCCCAAACAGTTGACCATTTGGAATATCTGAAAAAAATTCAAAGCTCAGGAACATAATATTATATTCTGAATTTAGAACTTTCTCTGAGACGGAATCTATGGGCAAATCTCTTGCCAGTATAATTTACTAGAGCTCAACTGATTTAATGGAACTCTGACAATTTATACATAGCTGATGCTTGTTATTATGTCCTTTGTTGTATTTAAGAGCTTCTGAAGTCATTCTGCTTGCTGAGCCCAGGACCGCCACCAAGAAACAAGCCACACTTACTTCTCCCTCCATGAAGGCCTAACAATTGGGCAGAGTAGGCAGCTTAGATTGGTTCTGGCATGCCCAAATGTTACTGTTAGGCTCTTCTGAGACCTAAAGTGTGGGAGTACTAACAAGGCATGCTCTTAGGACTCCTCTAAGCCGCCTACTGTGCATAATTGACAGGGGTGTGAGTGGGTAGGGCTTGTTTTGAGCAGCAGCAGCCCCAGGCTTGGCAGAGAGGTGCTATAGACAAAGCCTAAGCACTACCAGGGTATAAACACTAAAGGTAATCATGCTGTGATACTAATATGGAATTACTAACCATTTCTTTTGTCACTGTGTGGGATTATTTTTTGCCAGAAAAATATCTCCCTAGCAGTCTTATTTTCGATCAGTCTTGGGATGCTAATTTTACATTGGCTGGAAGTTTAGAATGCATATCCTATTGACCTAAGGTATATGCAGATGTTACATTTAGATTGACATAACTGTGTATAGGTCAATCTAAATACCAATCTGTACAGACCTAATGTATTCTGTATCTTCATTCTACATTAGGCAAAAAATGGCTGGCCTGATCTAACTTAGTTCACTTGAGGAGGTGAGCTAAATTAGGTTGGGAATGGGTTATACTAGCCCTGAGCTGGGAATGCCCAGTTGCTTGCCTTAACTCCTGAGCTGCACTCTTCTTACCCTTCACCCTGACTAGGCTATTTTTGGCCTCCCAATCCTCCCACCTTCTGGACAATGATCCCCCCCATGGACCCACCAATGCCCCCATGGACCTGCTAGCCCCCCTGATCATACCAACCCTCCTCCCCACGATACCTGCTAAACCCTCCTGAAGATCCTCTAGCCTCCCAACCCATCTGCCTACCCCCGTCCCCCCACTTATTTAGAGCATGTTCTGGGCACAGCTCTGAGCACTGCTGAACATGTGTATCAACTGGACCCATTCTATGGTCACATGGCTTAAAGTAAGCCAGGTGATTGTAGATCAGGTAACTTGAATGTATGCATGTATCCACAGAGAGCATAAAGTGTCCCAGAGACTACTAGATTCTTTTTAGTGCCCCGTGGTAATCTGTAGCAATTCCATGAAAACCTGCATAACAGGAATTAATTAATTTTAATAAACCAGTGCTTTGTAATGTGCCACAGAGTAACAAATTCTTTTGAGAGACCTCCAGTATATACATTGGTTGGTCACAGGACCACAAAATTGTTTCATATTATATAAGCTTTTAAAATTACTTCATATTATAAAGAAGCATCAGAGCACAAGATTAATTCTTTGCCCTGCCATCAGCCCCCTTACCTGAAGCTGAAATTTTGCTGCTAGGTCCTGATACCGTGGTGAGCGAGGATCACTCAGTTCTGTTGTGTACTCCTGATTAGTGAGGGTAATACTGAACTCTACTGACTGCTCCACAGGCAACTCTGGGACTGTGTTAGTGACCTCTGGCTTCAGCTCCTGGGAGACAGGGAGAGGAAATGAGCTTTGTAAGATAAAAAGTTAAGACAAAGTATTTTCTTTTAATGGTTTAGTTATTTGACACATGTAAACAGAAGACTCTTGCATCAAAGAGGTTTCTTAAACATAACATACGGGAAAGAGACAGAATTAGCTGGTATCTATTTTTCCCTGTATGAGGAACAAAAGGAAATAAAGACAGTACCTCCCTTAGAAAACACCCTGTCTCTCTGATACAGGGACAAAATGTCTGCTGCCTCCTGAGTAGGGAGGAGATTTTTTCTTCAACTAAAGCAAATGAGTTGTAGCAGCTGCCAATTACACACCCCAGTGTCCTATATTCGATTTTTTGTTCTGGATTCTTATGCTTAGTTATCTATCCAGTGATTTTGGATAAAGTGGTGGCTCATGGTTGGAGCCTGTGGACTTAATTCTTTCTCTGCTTTCACCACCTGCATTTTTTGATCAAGTTAACTTTTGATTTATTTAAGTACAAAAGGAAAGGCAGATCCTCTGTTATAAAATAGGGGAGAAGCACTCTGAAGTGCTTTGGGTTAGGGTTCAAGGCAAAAGAGGGGAAAGGGACCTAACAGTGGGAGTTTACTATAGACCACCCAACCAAGGAGAGGAGCTTGACCAGGAATTCTTGGGTCAGCTCACCGAGGTAGTGAAGGCTAAGGATGTGGTAGTCATGGGGGACCTGAACTTCCCAGACATCTGCTGGGAGGAGCAGTCAGCCAGGTCTGAGTGCTCCCGTAGGTTCTTAGACAGAGTCCAGGACCTTCATCTAACCCAGGAGGTGCACAGCCCCACCACGGGGGATGCCTTGTTGGACTTGGTGTTGGCCAAGGGCGACGACCTGGTGAGGGGGCTGCGGGTGCTTGACCCCCTGGGCGACAGTGACCACTGCCTGCTGGAATTCACCATTCAGCGCAAGGTGGCAAAGGCAAGCAGTCAGGCTGTGGCCCTAGATTTTAGGAGGGCGAACTTCAACGAGCTAAGGAGGATAGTTGGAGAAGTGCTGAAGTCTCAGAGGGGAGGAGAGCCGGGTGTTCAAGGGGAGCGGTTGCTCCTTAAGGAGACGATCCTCCAAGCCCAAAAGAAGGTAGTCCCGACGAGGATCAAAGGGGGCAGGAGAGCATACAAGCCTCCATGGCTCACCAAAAACATCCGGGAATGTCTCCTTGCTAAAAAGGAGGCTTACTCCCAATGGAAAGGAGGGGTCATCACCAAGGAGGACTATTCGGCAGTTGCTCGGGGGTGTAGGGGGGTAGTTAGGAAGGCCAAGGCAGAGATGGAACTGGGACTAGCTTCCCAGATTAAGGACAACAAGAAGTCCTTTTTTAAATACATAGGGAGTAAAAAGAAGGCCCCAGGTAATGTGGGGCCCTTGCAGGACGC